ATTATTTCTACAAATATGTCAATTTTTACATTAACATTAAATAATTGTTGAATTAATTATATTGGTTTTACTTAGTGGTTTTATATTGCTACTGTGGTCAAATCCAATTTGCACCTAAAAACCGTTCGGGCAAACATAATAAAAAATGATTAAACATTAAAAACTGATTTCTTTGATCTCGCGTAAACATAGAAATCCTTAATCTCGCGAGTTCAATGATATCCTTGTTCTCGCGGGTTCACGGAGATCAACGATAACAATGATCTCGCGAGTTCGGCGCGCGCGCGCGTTTTTCCTGAATCACTTTTAACTCTCAACTCATTGCTTGTTTCTTTTTTTCAATCTAGTGTGTGTTAGAGTTGGTGTGTTTGTGTGAGTCAGTACAACATCAACTTTATGCTTATCCACAAATTTTTAGGTTTCTCAGCCAACACAAACACAAAAAAAAAATTAACTGGAATATGTCTGCACCAATTTTTACAAATCGCTGATTTGGTACTGAAACCGGAAGTCTTCCCTATTTCCGACTTCCTGTGCTTGAAGCGTATGTTTCCCTACTACTTTGAATGTTATCTGGTGTGATGAAGTCACTCAAAGAGCTGCTGATTATGTTAAAGATCATTGTGAAAGAAATGGACGATCAATCAAATTTTACTTCGATGGGAATTGTAATGAAATCAAATCAGATTGGCCTCAATTATCCACTAAACACGAAAAAATTAGTCGAGGCTTTGATTTCATGAACCATTGCTTTCGCAAAGACTTTAACTACCTCTCACATTTTTTGATTCCAATTAATTATTGAAAAGTACTTATTGAATATTATCTATTGTCTAACCTAAAGAAATGTCTTTGTGGTCGAATGATTAGAACTTTAGATCCTATGATAACTTTCATCGAAGTTTCAAAAATAATGATGATAGGTGAAAGATAAATGATTGTTGCTATTTCTAAATAAAATAAACATTTATTTTACTTTGGAGATAGATTAGTCTGAAAAGTCTGACTGAATTTGTTCAATTAAAAATGTTTATGGTTCAAGATATTGCAATAAAATTTTAAAGTGAAAATGATTAGACTAAAAATTGAATAAAGGCAACAATTTTCAGTGCACTAGTAATCAGGGTTAAGTTGACAAAATCGGAGATTTTTAAGAATCTGGAGTGAAGTTGAATCAATAAAATTAAAATCTCAATTTTTGTAATGTAGCATTCAACTTACTGCTGACATCTATGGAGACTACAGGGGAAAACAATATCTTATGATACATTCTGACCAATTCTCGTGCTTAACCACCAAATCTCTTACCATTTTACCGTCTCAAAGAAAACTGTAGTTTTAGCCATTTTATTATTAATATTTTAATATTAAAAATGTTGATCAACGAAATTCCCGATGATTGTTTGCTCGCCATCTTTGACTATCTGAACAACCTGGATGATTTAATAAACTGCTATAAAGGTAAGCACCAATCATGTTTTTTGTAACATAAAATTCATCTTTTTCCCTAGTAAGAAGTTTATGCTCACAAATTTTAAACCCAAATATCTTAGGAACCACGCATTTTACAGAAAAAGTGTAATACCAGATTTCATCCCTCAACTAGCTCTCTCGAATGGCCCCCCTCTCATCTCAATCCATTCCGGGTCTCTCAAATAGTTCCCTTGTCAGACTAAATCAAAAAAACATTTTGAGTTTACCAGGAGCAGATTTCACTGTATCCTATTCGGTTTGTGTGGATTCAAAAAGTTGTTTCAATTGTAAAGTTCAGTTCAATTAAATTCAATGTCTTCTTTCAAAAATTAAGATACATTTTCAATTTGACGAGAGTCAATTTTCGTGACAGACACCCAATCGGTGATGTTTGCAATTTTTCGAGTCAACCTGATCGACGATTTGACCAGAAAGGACCAGAGATAGTTTCACATCAGTTAACCAGCTTCAGGCTCTTAGTATTAAAAATAATTAATTTAAAAGTTTCATCTGAATAAACCTTTTTTTTGTCATCTTGTGATTATTGCATGAACCAACCATCTGGCTGTTTAGGCGCAGCATTTAAATAATTTACACAGAGATTAAGTCATGTTGTGTTGTTTTGAAAGTAACTGAAGAACGATTGAGACAATGTAAATTTATAAAAAGAGCTCAATTTTATTACAGTGTGCGTTAAATGGAGCTATTTAATTGCTAAGCGGACTAAAAAAGTTAAATATTTGCTCGGTAAGATTCAAGTTTTATCAATGTCTCGTGCTCATTGTGATATTAATCTTAGAAATTTATATTTCAGATAATCTTGACTATTCATCTTATGCTGTTTATTACATGTATCAAATATCACGTTCGATTGAATCAACCTGTCTGAGCAAATTATTCACAAATTTAACAGTAAGTTTATATCATTAATCAAATTTCTTTTTTGCATCTTTAATTAAATATTTGCTTTTCTTATCCACCTTATTAATTTAGATCGCTGGTTTGTCTCCTGAATTAAATACTAAAGTAGAAGATGTTATTGAATTTGTTAGAAGCCAAAAAACTTTGAAAGGGTTAATTAATGATTTTGATGTACCAATAGAAAAATATTGTGATAGACTTGAAATGTTATCTGTCGAATATTTCAATCCAAACAATTTACAAAATAGTTCCAGCATGAAGCAATTGGTCATTCGGAATTATAGTCTAGAGGCTTTGAAAAGAGATGTCCATTATTTGCCAAACCTTGAAAGACTAAAGATTCAAATTAAAGGTAATTATGAAAATATTTTGCCCAGAAATGTTCGCTTATGAAAATGTTTAGATGTTTAAAATGTTCGCTTATGTTTAGTTCCAGACAATCCCTACGATGGTCCCGTATTGGAAAAGCTCAAAATACTTGAGTATTATTATCAATACCCTAGAAATTTTTTTTATGGTTTCAAGTTGATGGATTCATGTCCAAATTTACAAAGTGCACATTTCCTCATGAATGATACTTGGGTTTTTGACGAAACATTGAAACACAAATGTTTACAAGATTTAGTTATACAATATGTAAGTATTATTCAGATTTGAAATGTAATGACTTTTTGAAATATACTTGTACATTTCAGATTAAAATCAATAAGGTTAGGTTACGTCTTCATGAAAAGGGTCATCTGTTCAAAATTTCTCCACATAAACTAATTGATTTTATATTTACAGTATGGATGGTATGACGAAAATGATAACTGGAATAATTTAAAAAGATTGCTTATGAAATATCCCAATCTCAAACATCTTGCGTTGAGGGACACTCGGAATATAATAGATGAAAATATCGAGGAATTGGTTCTTATTTTGCCCAATTTAGTGCTATTGGATGTTAGTGGGTGTAAGGGGGTCACTCAAAGAGCTGCTGATTATGTTAAAGATTATTGTAAAAGAAATGGACGATTAATCAAATTTTACTTCAATGGGAATCGCGAGAAAATCCAATCAGATTGGCCGCAGTTATCCAGTGAATACGAAGTAAGTCGAGGCTTCGATTTCATGAAACATTGCTTTTTCAGAGACCATTTTTTCCTTTCTAATTTTTTGATTCCAATTGATTATTGAACAGTACTTATCTGTTGATCTTGTTGATTGTTGATATTACATTGTATATTTTTTTATTTTTTACCTCGAAAGCCAATTCAAAAAGTTTTATTATCTTTA